CCGAGTTTAAAATCACAGGGAGTCAGCTTTGGGTGTCACAAGTCCAGATTTTAAGAACTAACTCCAAACAAACAAAATTTGATTAGGAAGACGGGAAAAAGCTTGGGTCACTTGTTATTGTACTGTCATTTACAACTTAAGCTACACAGAATGACAGTATTTCTAATGCATGTTGTATGCATGGACACCTCTAGGGAGTGTGACTTTCTACCACTCTATCATTGTGGAGTAAATGAGCCTATTATCTTCATACCATCACCATACAACACTGAGTATCTCATATTACTACAGCTATGGCATAAGCAGATGGGGCAAATGTAAAACTCATGGAAGACATCAGAACTTTTTTCACTGAATATAAAAAATCTTCTGATTTTGTTTTTGTGGAGCTCACAGGTGAGCTCAAACCAATGAACTGTAACTCTTCCAAAGAAAATTGTAATGAGTGTCAGTTACCATTTTGAGGTTGCAAGTATTCTGCTTCCTTATTGGACACAGCCAGGAACTTGTTTATGATTACTCTGTTTCTCTGAACTAATACCCCAAGCATGCAGCATCTATGCTCATATCTCACTTTTTATGAAAAGTACAACTTTACTCATATGAAAGGTATTACTACATCCTGATTTGTAGGACTATATCTACAGACTGCATCCAAGAATACTGGAATAATTCCAAAGCCTCCCCATGATTTCAGCAAGCTCTGGATCTGGCTATACATGGGCTGCATCTTTATTACCCAAGCATGTATAAGAGTAGGTAGACTTCTAAGACCTTGTGTAGACATCTGTGATGACAAAAAATGAATCACATACACTGTCTTTTAAGTAATTACTCAAATTTCCTTTTTTTCATTCTCAAGAAAAAATAATCTAAAAGCATTAGAAGTGTTACCATTAATTTATTTGTTTACCTATGGAGAAGTAATTTCTGGCTTGTGTAAGTCTTTTTTAAAACGGCAGTTTGCAAAGACATGAATACAAAGGGCTGGAATGCTTACTTCAGCTTAAACCTAGAGCTACACAAAGACATTCCTGGTATTTAACTTTTTTTTTGTTAAGTTGTTGTTTTGAAACTTCCATTTTTATGTGAAGCTTCATGACATCCTGAGTCAAAGCAATAAATGCAGCATATTTTCTGGGTCATAACACTCCCATCGCCTTCAAGAAATCATGCCAAATAGCTATGTCTGTATTCACTCAAAATAATACTTCCTCTAAAAATGCATGACATCTTATATGATTTACATCATGTTATGTTGCGGATTAGGTTAATGACTTCTCGTGCTTCTGTGAACCATTCGAAGTACCAGAATATTACTTTATATAAAATATAAATAGAGTATATTGCTGCAGTGGTGGGTTATTTAACACATGTATTTCCACATGGGTCTAAAATGAGGGGTGGTACCAACATGTAATGAGCTCCTTCTTCCTGTGTAAAAACAAATGGATTACACTGCTTTTCAGAGCAGACTGGTCTATTTATAGATGAGAATTAAATATTTTTCTAGCTTTGTTCTGGGTGTTTTATTTGGAATGTGTCTGTGCTTTAAATACTAAAGGGCTCCATTTCAATAGCAACTGAAAGAGTAACAGTTAAGGTAATTTTTTGGTCATCTGTTGCAGCTCTCTTTGGATAAAATCCAGGACAGGGATAATATCTTTTTAACTAAAAGACTAGTAAACAGCCAGATCACGGTAGTGTCAAAGACATGGTCAGGATAGCTTCACTTGAACAAATACTGAATATTTCATTTCCTATATGAAACCATTTCAGGCATATACTAAGACTTTCTCTACAGAATAAGATGCATGTAGCTAATATCAAAGTTAAAACTAGAGAAAATTTTTTGAGTCAATAACTCACTAATGGGTGGCAAATAGGTGGCATCTCAATGATCAGTTACATTCTGAAGGTAAAATAGGGGTAGGGACTGTTAGGGAAGAAAGAGAAAACACGCACAAACATAATTACATTTTTTAAATGTGCTGTGTGCCCATATCTTGAATACTGAAATCCCGGTTTCCTGATCACTCTCACCTTAAAAAGTATGTAACAGACACAGAAATGGAACAAAGAAGGACAAATGAGTATAATCAGAGCTTTTACTCATTTTGCAAGAAAAGAAAAGGAATAGGTCAGCATTGGTAAAGTTTTGAGTATGACAAAGTTGTACTGAAGTATGTATGGTGCAGTGAGTTATCAAAATCAAACCAAAACAAAAACCCCAAACAAACCAATACCCCAACTCAACAGTGTCTAATAAATCAAGAAGTTGACAACACTTAGACAAGCAGGTACCAAACTGCACAGTTACAAAATACTTCAGACACATTGCATAACTGAGCTGTGGAACTCACTAGGAAGATGTGGAGACCAAAACATAAGTTTTAAATAGGATTAAATTAATTACTGGACTATTTACCCAATAAATGTCAACAGTTAAGCAAAGACAATATGATGATACAGTGACATTCATGTTACCCCTGCTTCAAGAGGTCTCTAATCCACAGACAGGATTGGCAAGAATATTCCAAAGGGGGCTTTCTCTCTCTCTGACCTGTTCTTACACTTTTCCATAACAATTTTCTATTGTCTGCTGTTGGAGAGAGGCTACTGATCAACTTCTAGGTTGATCTTTAAATAAATAATTAAAATATATTTAAACATATAAATCTTATAAAAATAATTTCCTTAAGTCTATTATACCACTTGAAAAAAAAAATTGACAGAATATTGGTGAGAAAAAAAAACACCACAGAATCATTTCTAAGCTAAAACCACCCTTTAACAGTCAATGTATCCCACTTCTATGGAGCTTCTGTGAAACAGTATATGCACTATAACAGATTTTTATCCATCTAGTAGGTGTAGGATACTACTTAATATTTGGAAATTAACAGACTGTTTTAATGCTTTTCTGAGTCCTTTTGTCACAACTGGTTGTTATTCACCACAGGGGTAATCCATGGAAATGGGGATGATCTGGTTCCTGATCACACCAAACGACAATTGGGTGATTTCTCAAAGATATTCCTGAGAAAAACAAAACTTACTGGGATCAATCCAGAGGTAACTCAGTGAAATTTAATGGCCTGTGATATACAGGAGGTCAGACTAGATGATCTAATCATTCCCTTTGGCTTTAAAGTTTATGAATCATGCTTGAGGTGGAACTAGTAATGGGAGTCATCTAATGGGAGTGGACATTGAAGTAAGATCCCTGGTGCTTAGGAGAGCAGAGAAAGCTCACAACATTTGGCCCGAAGAAGAAGCCAATTAAGAAGGCCTCTCATAAGAAGGAGAAACTGCCAAAAAGGATTAAAGAGAAAGGTGTAGGCCTTGGTGATTTGGCATGAAAAACTAAGGCCTGAGTTAGTCTAAGTGAAGAGAGAAACTAACATGGCCAAAATCACGCTTGACCTCAGGTTTTTCAGGAAAGAGCAATTTTTCCTTTTCTGTGCATCCATTTACCACCTTCACCCCAACCTAATTGAACTGCCCCTCTGCGTCATGATTTGGGGATTTGTGAAGCTGAAGTTGTAGTTACCCTTTGTCCCTTGTTTCTGTGTCTGTCTCCTCCCTCCCTGGCTCTGGCTTTGGAAAAGTTACTGCACATAGAGCTATTGCTTTTCTAGTACTGTGGTCTCCACACACTCGCACAGCCTGTGTTCCCATACAAGACAGGTTCAAAGCACTGTTTGGGTTTGTTATTTTCCTAACCCAACAGTGATAGTCTGTCAATTAATCTGGAGGTCTTCCAGACACATGATGATAAGGAACATTTGTATTAAAAAAAGAGAAAGAAAAAAAAAAAAGGCATTACAGCATCGGCTTCCTAATACAACCACCAATGACACAGCGAAAACTGCTGTTTGGGGTGTGAGGGGAAAAACAGGTAGCTATGAAGCTATGTAGCTCACAGGTAGCCTTCTGTTTACTGAGAGTTAACATACTAACAACAGTATAATTTGCTGCTCTACATTTTTAAGTTTTACTTCTAAGAACCGTGCATTATTTATAGAAATAGCCTGATTTACATGTGGTTCCTTCACAACTGGCAGACTGCATATACAGCCATTTACATGGCACTGCTACATTACAACTTATCTCCTGTAACTATATGTTTGAATAGGAGAATGAATATCAATCTGATCAAATATACGAGTCACCCTCCATGAAAATCAATCCTCTGCAGAAGACAAATTTTGAAGATTTAAGTGGGGTCTAAGTAGTGCCTAGTCCTTGTGCATGCACAAGAGTGAATGCTACCCACAGGAAAAAAAAAGCTATGGAAAAATTCATTAATAGCTTTCAATAACAAAGACATTTGAAAATGTCATGTTCTTCTTCACATATTTCATAAACAGAAAATGTAGTATAAATTCAAGGAAAACATTCGTAATTACAAGTTATTTGCTCAGCCCCACCAATCAGAAGCAGCCTAAAATGTACTGGCAGATGTCTGGGCAAAATAAACACAGTTGCATTCAAACCACTTTTTAAAATTCTAGGGTGAGATTTACAGGCTATTTGGATCTTGTGACTTTTCACTGTTTGTTTACTAGTTAAAAAATTTTAAAAGAGAAAAAAATTGTCTTGTGAATGTGAGCCTTAACATCTTTTTTTTCAGTCTGCATGTTTCTTCAGATCAAAATATAATGTTTGAGACATTTTCCTTCTGCTGAACATACCACTGTCTGAATAACTTTGCACACAGTTTATAGTTATTGTATGTAAAGTGTGCTTTGTACCAGAGATAAAATGTTATACTTCTTTATTGATAGAGTGGCTGTGACACATTTTGCTTTTATTAAAAAAAAAAAAAAAAATTAAATCTACAAGGCTCTGACCTATACAACCAATTGTTGACTGCTTGTAATGTAGGAGAGTGTTCAACTATGGAGATATGGTTCATGAATTAGTAGGGTGTGACTAAATATAAATGTTTTCATTTAACAGATCATTATACTATTCCTTTTTTTTAACGTACTAACCAGAAAAGTTCATATCCAGCTCAGCTTCTGATATTCAGATATCTACATCACTGCAGAAGTAAGATATCATATATTAAACTAGAAAAAAAAGAATACCAGTATCACCGAAATCACCACATTTGCTAAATCGTCATTGTTGTGTAAGGAGTACTTTTCCATCTCTCCGTTTTGATGGAAGCTTTTGAAAGCTGTTGTTTTTGAATTGTGAAATTTCTGATTTCACACTTTTTTTTTTTTCCTTTGAACTTGGATTATTTTCAAGATAATTCTTGGAAAGTCAGCATACTAAATGTACTTCACGCTCAATCTTACGTTCGTAAAGTAATCCTCTGAAATAGGAATTTTTCTTTATTTTAGAGTAGGCTGATTTCTTATGTTTTGTTGGTTTTTTTTTTCTTTAAAGTGCAGTTTTTAAGAAAAGGTTTGTCATAATCAAATCAGAAACACTGTCCAGAAAGTAGCAGGGTGTGACACCACATACCAATGACACACTGGGGCAAGGATGAATATTATAACCTATAAAGTATCACATTTTGTTTGTTGCAAACAGAAACTTGCCAAAGACAGCGTGTTCTAGCTAGAGCTGTGAAAAAAAAAATTGCTAATCTTTGTTTCCAAAGATCAGCATGCAGACATGGCAATTTTCAGGAATATTTTCAAATCAAAACCAGGATAAAATTTAAAAAAAAAATCTAATTTTTTTGTTACAACAACAGGTAAAACGTTCTCCAAGCACGTCAGAAATTCAGGGAGGTGAAAGAAATACATTCGCTCACCACAACATTAATTTCCAGATTGAAAACAGATTTCTTGGATGACTGCTTTTTTGTTATCCCTTCTGAAGAAATAATTCCTGTTTTCAGTTAAAATAAAAATAATAGTGAGGCGAATTGTATTCCAAATGTTTAACTTTTCATGAAACAGGTGAAAAGTTATTGCATGCTGGTGAGATTTTTTAAATCGGATCTTTATTCCTAGCTTAAGGGGGGCAGAGAGAGAGAGGAATAGAGGAGAGATGAATGGCAGTGACATCTGAAAATACACAACTCCTTTATATTAAGAGAGTTTGATTATATAAACCTTCTGTCTTGTTGCTTTGAGACCCTTTAATAATGTTTGATACAACTAAAGTTTATTGTTTTTATTCATGAAAGCAAAGAAAAAAATATAAGAATTTTAAATAATAGGACAATCATAAACCTGAGCTCAATGAGTGATGAAGGAATATTTTCCTCTGGGGAATTACAGTAGTTGGGCTTGGGTTTGTGTGAATGTAACCTCATGTTAAAAGGAGAAGAAAAAGAAAAAAAGGATTAATGCTTCAGCAGGTTGAAGGGGAAAATTATTTTCTACATTAGTCTTGCTATGAGCCATCCTGAGCATTAGGTACTACTGTAATAAGTCAAAGTACTACAACTGAAATAATGTTCTTACATGTGGTTTCAGGCTATTTTATGGCAAAATATAGTGGTCTTTTTAATTAGAAGATGTGTAAGAGAAAACAAACTTCATGATTCTAGAGTCATCAGCTGATTTACATTTTGCTTCCATGGAACAGGTTCAAATTTTTTTAACAGCAATTGGATAAATTATTATTTTTTTATTATTAAACAAGGTAGAAGGTTTGAAAGGCAAATTATATGTGCAACAGAAGAATGGGCTATTTTTTTATTTTTTTCATATATAACTTTCAAAATACCGCCAAATTAGGATACTGAATCATTAAGCATTTGACATTTGTCCAGTTAAAACTACTGACTCATACTTTCATTTCTTCCCCCTCAAATTACTACAGTGCCACAGCTGATCTAACTATATTTTCCATTTCTTATAAATAGCCACAAGAAAAGTATTAATTATCCTTGTACAATTTAATGCACCAACTGCCTTAACCTTTCAGGTTTTCTTAAACGCCAGCATAACAAGGCATATCCATGGCAGCAAATGTGATTTATGACAGGAATCTTTAATTTCTGTTTTTAAATATGTTACCCACCGATCTGCATACATTTAAATTTGCCTGCAACACTTTTCTCTGTCTTGAGGCTGTTGTTTAATATTCAAGGATGATTTTTGTCCACATACATTTTGGTCTATGTCACCTCAGATTAAATTATTACTGTTTGCAGCCTTTTTGGAGCAGGCCTCAGGCCCTTATTTACAAGAATCAATGAAACAGTAATGAAAATCCATTTTTCATACTATCAGCTCTGGCCTGCTTTTATTTAGTTAGCTGTGTCTAAGCAAGCAATTCATTCTGTGCAAATGTCATGTTGATAAAAAAGGACGAGCCATGAAAGGGTTAATCATGAAATAAGGCCTCCGCTTTGCTACCCCCCCAACACTAAAGCACATCTGTAATGGTAAAATTAAAAAAAAATTTCTTAATGTATGCAAAGTAATGTATATTGACACATAAGCAAGCCTTTTCATGATGAATATTGAAATATATATGCAAAGCACAGGAAATGTGTAACATGTTATAGATCTTTCAGTGTACATTTAGAGGAAATGAGCCATTTATATTCCACAATTTAGTGAATACCTACTGTTTATTGGTACAGAGCACATAGGAGTATATTTGTCTTAGTAATTTATTTAGGTAAATATATTTATTCTTCTAGGGGTTCTTGTGCTTTTTCTGGTTCTATAGTACTAGACATAAATATTTAACAATGCATTGTCTCAAATGTTATTCGTGTCATTTATCAGGGGAAACAGTGGAGCTGTAATAACTTTTAAGCTTGCACCTTCACTTAAACCTGAGATTGATTTAAAATGTGGGAAACCGGGATGTTTCTCCATGTCCAGTAAGAACGGGGATAGTTTCCCTGAAGGAGCATGGAGTGAGTCACATGGAGAGAAGGCAATGGCAGACGGCTCATTCCTCTCTTCTGGGTTGTCTTCTCTAATGTCTCCATAATCAAAACATGAGTGAATAAGGGTTTTTTCAAAATAATTACTCTTGTTACATATCATCTCATTTCCCTCTACAGCCTCACTTGTTTTCATGCTTCTGAGGTCCCTCTCATGCTCCCTTGGCTGGGAAGCCAGGTTTTGATTTCTTCCCTCCATCAACAAACCATCAACAACCATCCAAAGGTCTCCCAAACCTCTGCCTGTCTTCTGAGACACTCTGGGAACATCAGGTAGGAGAAATGGTTACAGCAAAGGGTATTTTTTTCCTCCATCAACTAATTCCTGAAGGCTTTAGACAGCCAGTTTCCAGGCATTTCAGGACAAATTTTCCCTTACTTAATCACTGATGCCTGAACACAGACTTATGAGTTGGCCTGTTAGTGTCTATTAGCATCCTCTGCCTCAGCATGTGATCCTGAACTCTTTGGTGAATATTTCACACCACTGAGAGAGCATTTTGCTACTGTCTTGAAGGCGATAAGGATATTAACTGATTATCTCATCTCCTGGCTCCACTTTCTCCCTGTGTGTATCTACCACCCTACCAACTCAGAAGGCTCTGGAGTAATTTCTTCTTCATCACCTATTCAGGCTGTCATTGCTATAGCCTTATTGGTCTTTAAATTAAGGTGTATTTCCTTTCAGTCTATGTACCAAGTACTTAAGCATTTGTCAATACCCCTTTTCTGAGATCTCTGCTGATGCAATGCATACAGGGTTTGGTTGGGTTTTATTTTGTCCTCCTTCTAACTCTCTCCCACCAGTTGCAGATCAGTTAGTTGCAGAGCCCACCCATAGGACTTTACAACACCACTGAAGAAATTACTTTCAGCTGAGAAATAGGAGAAGGTACATGCTATCCTGTTGCCAGCTTGGCACTGAACAAATTAGAGACACAAGTGGGAGAAAACATAAGGCAAGAGGTTTGCCAGGGGAAAAAAAAAAGAAAAAGCGTTCTTAAGAAATAATTATCCCTAGCATAATCTTGACACTGCAATAGTTATCACGAGACAAGCAACAGGCCTATGTTCCCAAAATCAGAGATTAAAGTAAAACTCAAGATTCATTTAAAGGGAAAAAAGAAAGGAAAGACAGGCAGCAGCTTTCTGAAGAAAATGCTACAGAAACTGGGTCAATTAAACTTTGGGCACAGACCTGATCTCCCCAGAGATTTCAAATGTTGAAGAAGTGTAGGGCAGCTGTATATGGAAACACTTGAGGTAAACTGAACCTTTTCCCCAAATCCTTGTGCAACTCTAGGCAAAGAGACTGAAATAAAACTTAGGTCAAGTGTGGTGGTTGGATCTTAGCACTGGCACATAAAACAGGGACACTGTAGATTACTATAAAATTGGGCTTGAGCCAGGGAAAGTGGCACAAGACCTCTGGTGGGGCTACGGAAATAAAAACTGTATTTCACTTAGACCAGCACTATTCTGTAGGACCATATACAGCAGATGAAAAAGTATTTCTTTCATGATATCTTGTGATAATTAGTGTACAGTAGAATGGATATCCACACTGGTTTGTGTTGTTCAGGAAGGGGAAGAGATTTGAAGAAAAGCAGAAACGCCTTTTTTTGAAGGACAGGGGTTCACAGATCTATGGCAAATGTTATCGTAGTTTTGCATTAAGGTAATGTGGAAATTCGGAACAGGATCCAAAGCTATAAATTGAAGTGTAAATGCTGCCTCCTGCAAGCTGTGAAACATTTTCTGCAAAGATGTGACTGTCAGTATCCTGACATCAGGACCTCAAGCCTACATGAAAGCATTCAAAACAGATTTCTGACCTGTCAGACAAAAATCTCCAAAGAACACGTACTATTATTTAGAACTTTTGTTTTTTTAAATTACATGTAGCTTTTAATTTCACATGCTAAACCTCACTTCTGGATCCTCATCCCTATCTTATTTCTGGAGGTGTATGCGGAAAGAAGAAAATGCTATCAGTCTTTTCACAAGAAAATATATGAAAATTGGGTGAAAGTCCTGAAATTTCCATTATAGCACAGGCTATAAACTTGAACTTCATATAAAAAATATATGAGGACAATAATATTTAAAAAATTATTATAAGATCAATATCATTAGAGGTGCTTTTGCTTGTTTTCAGCAGGTCAGTATTATTTTTTTATATGCATGTACTTAGTACGTTGA